CTAAGGAAAGGACACAAGATAAGAGACAGACAAGAAGACATCTTGAAACAATCTTAAGAATAACATCCAGAACAGCTATCAGTAAACATAAGCTAATTATACTAACTATAAAATTATATAACTAAAAGCTAATATTTTCTGGGTAAAGGCTGATACAAAATCATAAAATAAGAAATTAGAATATCAACAGTTACTCAGGGGAATATTAACCTATAACAATATAGGAAATATTTACCAGATAAGAATTGTTATAACTAAACCTGACATGCAAATCAATTTATAACATTTTTGACATGCATTTTTCTGGATTTTTGTTGTTGTTGTTCTGTCTCTCACTGTTAAAATACACCTACCATTAAAATATAGACTGATCATATCATTGTCAGTGGACAAATGTTCAAAATCAGCAGGAGATCAAAAACTTTTTTCCCCCTCGTTGTATTATCACACGCTTTTGGCAGATGAACAAGATTGAACTTTAGAGTTTCTCTCTTGTCTGAGCCTATGGAGAGTTGAATTAATTTGAAATAAAAACTTTCTAACAGAATAACATTAGCGGCCAGATGGGCCTTGGCTCAATCCTGGTTAACCACAGAGATACCTGCTATGGAGATTGTACTCCTGACAATAAAAGATAATGTCTTAAAGGACCACTATAGTGCCAGGAAAACATACCCGTTTTCCTGGCACTATAGTGCCCTGAGGATGGCCCCACCCTCAGGGACCCCCTCCAGACTGGCTGGATGGCGAGGAAGGGATTAAACCCAGCTTTATTCCAGCGCCTGGCGGGGAGCTCGCCTCCTCCTCTCCGCCTCCGATCCTCCTCTTTGGCTGAATGCGCACGCACGGCAAGAGCTGCGCGCGCATTCAGCTGGTCTCATAGGAAAGCATTTACAATTTACAATGCTTTCCTATGGACGCTTGCGTGTTCTCACTGTGATTTTCACAGTGAGAAGCACGCATGCGCGACTCTAGCGGCTGTCAAGAGACAGCCACTGGAGGCTGGATTAACCCTAACATGAACATAGCAGTTTCTCTGAAACTGCTATGTTTATATAAAAAAGGGGTTAATCCTAGAGGGACCTGGCACCCAGACCACTTCATTAAGCTGAAGTGGTCTGGGTGCCTAGAGTGGTCCTTTAATGGACAAGCTCACAGCTCCATTGAAAAACACACTCCCTTCTATGGAGAAAATATAGCTCTCCTGTGAGCCCCTGTTTGTGACTGTCTATATTGGGAGGTTCTGTCAGACAGTATCAACGGCGACTCATCCTCTAACTTATCTTTTTTTCCTTCTTTGTTCTTTCTTCTATTTCCTTATATTTCTCCTCCCTTCACCTTTTTTTTCAAAAAGACATGTGGTGCAACTTCTTCATATGAGATATAATAGATGGTGGGGAGACCTATCCTTTTTATTCTGATGTTAAACAACTGTATCTTGTCTTCTCTATGGTCTAACCTTAAGTAGAAATTAAATAACTAAATACAATGCAAAATTACACGCAATCAATTCCTAAAATTCTAAGTTAATAATAAAGTCAGTAACATTGAAATGCAGAAAAAGGTCCAAGGGAGATAGTACAGCTTAGCGGACAAGGGTACATGTATGGATGTGTGTGATTGGTTGGTTTGTGTCTGTAGGGGAGTGATTTGTAAGTTGAGTGGGTGGAAGCTAAAGTAACTAGCCTCAAAGACATTTTAGTTTTCTGGCCAGGACCAGCTTCCTAAACACTCTCTCACTGGGCTGTCGGATTGCGGCCTGTGGGCATTGACATTAAATTTATTCTGTCAGCCCTCAAGGCTATGGTGGCTCTGGTTGGAGACAGGCTCCTCCGGGAGAAATGTGCCCGCTTCCACGTGGATTCCCAGGTCACCAGTGCAGGTCTGTACCAGTGGCCTGCTTTGTTACCACCCAGCCTGGCTGAGTCCCAGCTCCTCACCTCGAGCCTGGTACTGGAGCGGAAGCTGGGCCCAAGGCATCCGCATTTCCACTTCTCGCGTTATGCAGCCTTCACAGTTTACACTCTCTGTGGCTGTCCCCTTGGCCCAGAGTTCGACCTTGAGCATGTGTCCGGCCTGTGTGATTGCTGCCTGAATCAGAACAAACAGTAACTCTAGCTCATCCTTTATTGTTTTTACAATCTAGCAAGCAAAGGTCTCCCCTTCGTCCATCTCCATACAGACAATTATCATATTGTTATTGATAATATGCCTGCTCCTGTTGTTCATCTAAATACCCAACATGTACCAAATGATGTGATCAATGACTAATTCAAGAAGATTACATATATATATATATATATATATAAAAGACATAAAAAATCAGGATTATTAAATTCCTAAATTACATTATTTTATAATTAACTGTCAAATTGAAGCAATGTACAGATGAAAAATTGCCATCATCAAACAGACACAGACTGCCGTATTAATAGAAGAAATCTTCCAGTGGGTGTCCATGTTTTTAGACTGGTGTGTCATGTTAATACATATAATATCAAGTAATTTTTTTAAATAATAATACATAATTCTATATTTCTTAAAATCACTGTGTGATTGATTGTTCCATTGAGTGTGACCTCAAGTGAATGTACCTGAGTTACCTGCTTAGGACACCCAGGTGCTCTGACTGTACCCATGTACATTTTTTGGCATGTTATGGTGAACTGATTGTAGAGCGTGCACCAGTCTGGCATGCTAGGTTTGGTTGAATAAATCCATGTGTATTGATGTAGTATAGTATTGTTGGCTGAGTAAATCCATGTTTATTGGTCAGGTATGACATAGTTACCTGATTATACCCATGTGCATTTGCCTGGCATACTATGGTTGGCTGAATGGCCTCATATTGTGGAATGCCAGTACATTGCACTGGATTAGAATGTACATGACATAGTGATTATTTGCCCAAATTGTGTCATGTAGTCCTGTTTTCCTGTACGTGCAGAATATACATTGTTTTGTTTTTGTTTATGTTTTTATGAAGGATGGTCTCTGCTTTGCAAAGTATTGTTCTTTTAAAAAAAAGCAATATGATTTATGCCAACCATAAGACACTTGGCGGACATTTCCGCCAACCATTTAACCACCAATGGAATTTGAAATCATATGATGAACCCCCTTTCACCAATCAAAATAAGGGAATTCCAGGTGATTATAATTATAGGTGGGACTAAGAACTAAGAACACAAAGGATTGGTTAATTAGAAAATTTAACTCCAAATGTGAACTCAAGGGAGGACCCAAGAGACATTTAAAATGCAGAAGGTACAGAGGATCAAGCTACAGCTGACTGAGGCTCCAGGAGGAGTGAAACGCGTATTGGCTATCAGGACTTCAGAATTTAAATACTAAGTTTATTTTATTCATTTCAAATACCATATGCATTAATAAATTAGATTTTATACTAAGTCTATTGAAACCTCAGGTACCTTCATTGGGGGAAGTGCCATCTCCCCTAGAGTGGCACAAAGCATACCACCCTCAGAGCCTTAAGGCTCTGACAAAAGGTGAGCTCAATACCTATTCATATTTATCTATAATACCTCTATAACTATACTACACATTGAATGTCTTTCCAGAGGAAAACTTCCAGCAAGAAACAGTGGTGGGATGCTGCCCTAAAGGCATACCAGTCTTATTTACAGAGCTAAAAATAAAGGCTCTTTAAAATGTGAGTGACCCATTCCTTACCTCACTTAATCCACACAGTGTTTGACAATCGGCACTATATTGTTTATTTTTATATCTTTCCTATCTGTACTTGACATATACGATTCAAGCAAGATTTTATAAGACAACCCCTCAACACCCATAGCGCTCCACTTAAGGTATATGTTAACTATATACCAAACCCACCTTCTGTATTAATTGCATGGGGAATAAAGGGTAATTCACATTAGTGTTTAGAGCTGCTATACACAGATTCCAGCACAAATTCCTTTTATGTAACACACACTCTCCCAAGAGGAGATTTTTGTTCTAATATGATTTATGTTAAGAATATATTGAATAGAATTTCTTTCAGAAATCGGTATTGTATGAATTTTGTTAAAGCGTCTCTGTCACTTTGTAGGATTTGCTTTCTAAATTAATCATTTTGTTTTCGCTATTTTTCTTCGGTTTCATATTTTTTTTTTTTTAATTCACCAAGGCAAACAGCAGACGTCATGGGCAGAGGAGAACATACTGGAGGAAGCCCAGTTATTGAGAACCGGAAGAAAAAATTACTTAAAAAGAAATAAAATAAATTGGCAATGAGGGAAGTGCTGTTACATAAAATATTACTAAATAAGTCCTTTATTTTAACTGCATATTTTGAAAACAACAAATTATAAAAGAGTGTATACATATATAATGCTGGATTATATAACACCATTCAATATGAACTATAAAGAGAAAATACGTTATGATTATTTAAACTCCATACTATAGAATTTCAATAAAAATTAATCACTGTTGGTTTCACTAAATTGTGTAGATGTATGCGGAAAGTATTAAATCTGTAGATAAAACTTTATATAAACACATTAAGATAGCCCCAATATATATATATATATATATTATATAAGTAAATGTGAGCATCGTAAAGATAGACAGCATAGCATTAAAAGAAAGATAATATGACATTTTGAATATTTGCAATAAATGATAATAAAAGCTCTATATCCCCCTAATGAAAAAAAAATCACTTAAATATATTTTTATTATCCTTTGAGTGTTTTTCCTGGCTATTTATCATGGCTGCATCACTTATGGGTTACCTTCGCCTCAGTCGGATTAGGACAGCACAGAAACCATTATGTGCTCCTTGCAGAGGACTTACATAGCTCCATATTAGCTTATACCTTTTTTTCCTCAATAATATTCCTTTTGAGGCAGCGGGGATAGCTGTTATAAAATTCCTTTATTTCCTTCCCCTTCTGTCTATTTCTACACCTTTGTATATTTCTAAATTTTTAGTTCTCCTTCCTTCCTTCCTGTCTTTTTTGTGCTCCTTAATGCTGTCCAGAGATTTTCAGAGGGATGCTGACGCAAGTATGGTGTTGCCATCTTCCGCAACGTTTTGCCGCCAGAGGTGAGTATTCCCCTGTGTTTTCGATGTTCCTGGTCCTCCTATGCTTGCATCGGGCGAATTTGGTGCCTTTTATTTGCTGCCGTAGTGGAATTTATCACAAAGCTCCTGGCCTTAGCCTAATACACAGCACATCCACAGCCTCCCGTCTCCCTTAAAGGGGGCACGCGCCACTATGTCCTTAAAGTGGTAACATTTTCAAAAGTGACTCTTAAAGTGACAAGCTCGCTGAAAGTCTTTTTCTGTTTCTAATTTAGAATTTTTTCTGGGACTGCTGCCAATTCCCTTTCCTGGAGGAACTGAGGTATTTTCACCAGTCTTTTTCCTCCTCTCATGTACATTTAAGCAAAAGTATCTTATCCATAAACTTAATCTGCTTTGTTTTCATTATTCTACTTGTTTTTATGGCTTCTCCCTCTGCCTCTTACCACTTGAGTTTAAAAAATAAAATAAAAATGAGTTATTATTATTATATTATTATGATATTTATAGAGCGCCGTCAAATTCCGCAGCGCTTTACAACGGGTGGACGAACAGACATGTAGTTGTAACCAGACAAGTTGGACACACAGGTACAGAGGGGTTGAGGGCCCTGCTCAATGAGCTTACATGCTAGAGGGAGTGGGGTAAAATGACACAAAAAGGTAAGGATAGTATTAATGCTAATTTAATGTTAATTTAATTTAAGAGTTAATGCTAATTTAAATCTTGGGGATTAAAACAGTGCCAACTGGTCCCATCATTTTATGTATTTATAGCCTTGTTTTAAAGCCCAAGCATGAGCTGGGAAAGATCACTGAGGAGGTTTAAGGATGGATCCAGCTGCTGTTTGGGCTGCAGTAAAATTGCACCGGAGGAGTGAACTTTGTGCATTAACTGCATGATGGAAGTAGTGGAATCCAATAAGAATTTCCCTCAAAGAAGAACTAAAATTAATGGATAAAGCCCATAGAGAAATAAATCTTCCTTATCGGAGACACTCAGATATCAGAACAGAGATAAAAAAAATATGAAATCTAACCAATCCTTAATCATCAAAGTCCACCTTTCCAGTACATCCAACTATTATAGATATGATTTATGAAGAATTGGGAAAACCGGAGAAAAATCCACAAAAATCCACATTAAAGAATAAGACTTCGATGATTCATCCCTTTGCTATCAAAGACTGTAAATCCTGAACATCTACCAACAAAAAATAGACACAGCAATCATTAAGATAGCCAAAATCTCCACTCTTCCCATAGACTCCATGGCATATTGGAGAGACCCTATGGAGAAAAGACTGGTTGCCAGTCTAATCAAGGCATATTTGTCCCTAGGTTCAGCTCTTCACCTGGCATTGCCCTAACAACTCTATCCAGAGTCCATTAAAGTCTGATTGGACAACCTACCTGGAAGAGGAGTAAGAAGAGAACAACCTACTGATAACCTCAGAGATTTTAAGTTAGCTATGGTATTCAGGTAGCTGACAGCTTTGGATATAACAGGGATGTTGCTAAGAACATGGGATTTTCTGTAGCCTATAGAAGAGCTCTTTGGCGTCATTCATGCGGAGCATATTATGCGTCTAAAGCTTCCCTATGCTCCTTGTCTTTTCAGGATGACCTTCTTTTCAGAAAAGTCTTGGATGAATCTGCTGACAGCAAGAAAACATTTCTTCCTCAAGGTAAAAGAGGATCTTACTTGTCATCTTGGAGAGACAAGAGATTTTGTGATCGATCCTTTTGAGAAAATAGAACCTACGGTCCTGGAAAATAATTCTTAAGTAATTCATCTTGTAGCAACTCTAAGTCTTCTTCCTCAAATATTAAAACCAATAGAGGAAGGGGATCTTGCAATTCTACAAAAAAACTTCTGAAGGTGTGCCGGCCCAGTAAGATTTCATAGGAGGAAGACTCCTGCACTTCTATCCAGTCTGGTCCAAAGATATTTCAGACTCCCGGGTCCTGTCGAAGGATACAAGATAGATTTTGAGATTTCCCCAAGAATCAATGTTTTCAAGAAGTCTTCGGTTCCTCTAGTAGGAAAAGGACAGGTCATATCAGGAAACATAACCAATTTTCTTCCACTGGGAGTCATAGAAGAAATTCCTCCTCTATAAAAATTCAGAGGTCTATATTCCAATGTATTCCTGGCTCCAAAGTCCAATGACAATAGGAGACTCATAATTGATCTAAAGGAACTAAACACTCATCCAAAGGATCTGTCTTTCAAGATGGAATCCATCGCCACTATTATCTTTATCAGCCATGGAGACTGGTTAACATCGATAGACTTGAGGGATGCTTATTATCAGATTCCTATTCACAAACATCACTTAATGATTCTTGTTTCTCTGCTTATTGAACCTTAAAAGACCCTTTCAGTTCAGAGGTCTTCCATTTAGCCTAAGTCTAGCGCTTCAATTTTTCATTAACTGAATAACATTCCGATTAACACCCCCACTTTCACGAAAACTGTATCCCACACCAATCAAGCCTTGTTGTGCCTTCAAAAACACAGTTGGATGATCAACAAGGAAAAGAGCTTCTTAACCCCTTTAAAACAAATGATGTTCTTGGAGGTCTTGGTAGATACCATAGACTTAAAGATCAACCTATCTCTAGAAAGAACTATGAAAATGAAGCAGGACATTTTTCAAATCCTTCAAGAATCAGCAGTTTCGGCCATAATCTACAAGTCTGCTGTGGTCCCTGACATCCACGATCGGTCTTGTTCCTTGGTCCCACTGGAACTCCAGACTGATTCAGAAGAACTTTCTGAATCAGTTCAAATCAAGAAATCCAATTGGGATCAGCCTATTTGTATTCCTCTTCTAGTGGAAAATTAAAATTGTGGAAGAATCTACTCAGAGAATTTCCCCTAAAGAAACCACTCTGACAAACCATTACTACCGATGCCAGCCTGCCAGGCTGGGGAGCACACACAGATACAACATTGATTCAAGGCACCTGAAATCAAACAGAATGGACTCTCCACTCAAACCTCCAGGAACTAAGAGCCATCTCATATTGTAAGACATTGATATGCAAAATGTTAACAGCAATATTGTATAGAACATTCTGTGTTTTGGACTGGTTTCACAACTAGGGGCCATCTTGATAACAATGTGATAATGATCAAAGCTTTCTGTTGCTTTTTTCAACATCCAGCCAAAGTAACAATAGCTTACATGCCTCCAGCAGTGTTCCTGACAACAATTTTTTTTAACATTTTAGTGATTAATAAAGTGGCTTTTTTAGTCTTCTAATTTTGACCCTTTAGCTGTTTAGTAGATAGCTCTCTTATTTGGTATTCTTATGTGGGATTACTATTTTGAAGGAAACCAAGTTAGGTACTTATTATTATTATTATTATTTATATTTAGACGGTGCCATCAAATTTCACAGCTCCGTACAATAGGTGAACTAACAGATACGTATTTGTGACCAGACAAGTTGGACGCACAGGAACAGAGGGGGCTGAGGGCCCTGCTCAATGAGCTTATATTCTAAAGGGAGTGGAATACAGTGACACAGAATGTAAGGCTAGGGTAGAAAAGTATGTTGTTAAAATAAGTTTTACTAAGGGCTTGGTGTTTGTTTTGTTTTTTTATCTTCTAAGTAACTTGAACATCAAAATTAAGAAAATGGCTCTGGGATCCCTGGGGTCTAGGCAGCTGTCTAAGGTCCTATTAAGGCTTATTCTGGTCTGAAGCTAACTCTACAACAATATCAGTCATCTCCATATCCCGTGCTAAAAGGCTGTTTCATGAACTCAAACAATGCTAAATCTTTAACAGATCACCAATGTATTTCTATATCAAATATTTATATTAATGTGATGATTGACTTCTTTAGAGACATTGGGGGTCCAAATCTCACAGAGACATCAAATGTTGCCACAAAGGATCATACATTCCAGTTTAGAAAAAACTGAGCAGTCTCAGAGAGATACCAAGAAACAATTGTCAGTGCTTAGTGGATATACCCCCAATATCAAAGTCCTTCAAGTGATAATAAATACTGTTACAATACCGTATAACAGGCCAAATTGTGAATGAAAGGGCTTTGCATTATCCAGTCCTGAATTTAGTGTGTGTGGCGGAACCAACCTTGCCACTAGCCACTGGAGGAGCCTGGATGCCCACCTCTAGCCGCTGGACTATGGCCCTGTTTTAAAAACCTTTTATTTTCCCTATGTGAGCAGTGTTACCCCAGATAGCTAAGCCATGGAGCCCATTCGTATAACGAAAGACTATGTGAAAGACTTTGGCTCCATGGCGATTGAACTGTATGCATGTGATTTGAGCGCCATCCGGTAATAATGTGCGCTCAGATCTAAGCTATCTGGGGGTAGGTAGAATGTGTATGTTCTATGTGATGAATGTAACAGTATGTAATTATATGTCTTTTATTGTCCTTTTTCTGCCATGTGTTTAATGGAGTTTTGCCTCTGTCCTTGGAGATAATTGGATTACTTCCCAATTATCTCCAGGACAGAGAGGAGGGATTGTGATGCATTGTGGGATTGTGTAAATGTGTAAGCTTGTGATTGGTCCTTTTACCCTTTGTGTCCCAGTCTTCCATCTGGTCCCCTAGGGGAGTGTCCACCAGGTGGGAGACCTGCATAAAAGCAAGGCAGGTAGCCCCAGTAAATCAGTTCTACTTGACCCTCAAACGAAGTGTCTTCTTGTTCTTGGGGGGAATTGGATTGTATGCTGTTACAGTGCGACTGCCAGGAGTGTAAACTGTTCGTATGATTTTTCCTGTTCGGCTGTTTACAGCATTCGTGTGTTTCCTGTTCGGGAGTTTGGAGCATTCCCCTGGTTCCAGTTCGGGAGATTGGTGAATTCATGTGTTTGCAGTTCGGGAGATTGGTGAATTTGTGTGTTTGCAGTTCGGGAGATTGGTGATTGCAGTAGCTGTCTGTGCATCTGAAAAGGGGAATATCACCTAAACGGTTTTTAACCTCTTGTGTGCAAAACAGTCCATTACAGTGTGTGTGTGTACTCTTATGGTTTCCTCATCATCCGCTGTTTGTGGCTGTAAAGTGATCATGGTTAAATTGAAATGTCCTGAATGTCTGTGGAGTATTCACCAATCTAAAGTCAATGAACACTCAGTTCATCCCCCTTCCAGTGTATCTGTGCACATAGGCTCGTTTACCTAGGACAGCCATTCCCTCTCTCTCTCCACCCCTCTGTGTGCAGCAGAGAATGGATGAGAGAGAGGATATTGGATAATACAAACACCTTTCATTCACAATTTGGATTTCTGTACTTTTTTTTTTTAAACAGTATTAACAGTTGAAGGACACCTGGTAAGGTTTGTTATTGTGGCATTTTATTATTTAATTATTATAATATTTTAATATTAAGGATATATTAACACTATGCTCCAACACTTGTTTTTTTGTATCATATGTTATTGAAACATGGGGACACTGCTTACAAGTTTTGATTGTTTTGTTATCTGAGAATTATGTTTAGAGTTATAACTTTTTATGCATCTTTTATATTTTTATGAAGTAAATTTAAAAGAACGCTGAATAAATGAGAGTTCGTAGTGGATGGGGGAATTTAAAAACCCGCACAGCTTTGGAATGAGGTCAGCGTCAGTAAACTGAGTTTCTGAAGTCAGCTTGAAGTTTTGAAGAATGGTTGTAAAGAACAGGAACAATTCCATCCGACCCAGACTTTCTCCAGGGCAAATCCTCTTGCCTGTAACGAGACAGAATAGCATTATATTTAGCAAAAAAGTACTTTATATAGCTCAAAACCCAAAAAGTGAACTGTTGGTCTTTGGAGATTTTAATATTGAATCCTAAAAATAATAGTTCTTGCTCACTGTTTAACACAATTAATCTCAGCTAACACAAATAATCTCATTCTCAACATTAAAAGCCATAACAATACCCTGCTCGATTGAATAGCCTCCACTTCTGATAGAATCAGGGAGTCAGGTGTTCTCCCTAACAGTTTCAGTGACCACTGCTTAGTGTACTGCTTGCACAAAATAAAGGCCACTAAATCCTCTCCCAAGGTTAAAATCACCAGGTCCTTCAAAAATGTAATCTTGAATCCTTTCTAAATGACATCAAGAACCTTCCATGGCACAGACTAAACCTTATCCCAAATCTAGACTGTGTAGTTGAATTCTTTCAGTCTGAACTCCTACAAGCTTGGAATTTGCATGTCCCGCTGCGTAAGATGAGAGTCAAAGGGGCACATATGAATTGGATCACAGGTAACTGCATTCAAATGTACCAGTTTTGGGAATCATTGTGGTCAAAGTTCAAATGTACTGGCTCTATAAATGATCACTGTGCATATAGACAATGGCAAAATATATGCACAAAACAAACAAAATTGACCAAGGCCCAATATTTCAGTGAAAATCTGAACTATAACATATCACACCCTAGAAACACTCCCCCCAATACACTCCAAACCCTCCACTGTCAAAGTGGATAACCAAACCCTGCAACTTCCCTTAAATGTAGCAAATGCCTTTAACAATTATTTTGTTGGATGCTCCACCACTCTGATCGCCAAGTTTTCACACATGCTGAAACTACAAATGTGGATCTGGACCTGTACCTAGTAGTATCATTAAGAAACACCTTAATAATCTAAAAATGAAAAACCAGTCTGGACCTGATCAAATCCCAGCAATGCTGTGGAAGCTCAGTGCGCCGGCAATTTAACCTCTCACAACACAAATTAACGAATCCTTGTTGTCTTGATACATATCCAAACTTTGGAAGACTGCGAGAGTAGTGCCTATCCATAAAAGTGGTGACACTACTTTGGTTTCTAATTATCACACAATATCATTGCTTCAATTATTGTCAAAAGTCTTAGAAAAATGCGTTTATACGCAACTATGTGAGTATTACCAACAATCTAACTATCTGACCACTGATCAATCAGGTTTTCGCCCAAATCACTCCACTACAACTGCCCTCTTAAACGTTTCCAATGACATCCAAACTGGCATGGAACAAGGAGACCTAACTTGAGCTATTTTCCTTAATTTTTCAAAGGCTTTAGTAGACCTTGACATTCTACTGTACAAACTAAAAAAACTCAGGTATTGGTGATTGTCCGCTAACCTGGTTTCGATCATATGTATTGAATCGCTCACAATATGTGCCCATTTCTGACAGCGACTTCCTCCCTCCCAGTCACGTGTGGTGTTCCCCAAGATTCCATTCTCAGCCCCCTACTATTCACATTATTTATAAATGATCTGCCTAATATCTGCAAATCTTCAAATGTACACAGGTATGCAGATGTCACAGTAATCTATGCGAGCAAATCCAATCTACCACAGCTTGAGGCTGTGCTCCAACACCAGTTTACAGAGGTAGAAAGGTGGGTTGCAAAAAACAAACTCTTCCTAAACACTGACAAAACTGTCACAATGATCTTTGGAACAGTACCTAAATTACACAAATTATAAAATCCCCATCTCTACATGAAAACAAATTCAAATAGCTCTCAATGAACTGTTCATAATTACAGCTTATGTTTTCAGCCAATCAATGCTGTCTAAGCAATCACTGACCCTAACCACGCTGAGGTGTTAATTCTGCATTGTCAATGTGGTTAAGGAAGGGGCAGTCTCCACATGCCATGGATAACCTGGATTTTGTTAATCCACTCGTAAATGATGTGACATTAAACCAGCACACAGTGTGTGGAGACTCTAGGCAACCTGTAAAATATACTGGACTGGGGTGGTTATGTTGCGTAAAATGTCTATGTAAAATCATGGTCCATAAATGTACAGATATCAGTAGACTAAAGACATTCATGGTCTGAACTAAGTAGAAACATTACTGTAAATATAAAGCTTTGACTCATTATCTAAAACCCCGTAAAATATTATATTCATGATGGTGTAAAATTTCCCTACCTGCAGAGAATGCCATGAAAGCGTCATTCTTTTTAAATTTGCCGTTCTCATCCAGGAAGTGGTTTGGGTTGAATTTG